TTTTTTTTTTTTTTCTTTAAGATATACGCTTAATAAGTTGATAAAATTGGAAACCGGAGAATCTTATCTCGAAGAATAGAATCGCTGTCCGTTTTCTTGTTTAATTTTAATCGTTATAAAGGAACGGTATATAGAGGTACAAATTATGATTCGATTGTTTAATTATTACTACGTATTTATCGATTAATCGAATTATTTGATCGGTGTTATATATTATTTTTCTTCGTATTAATTTCTCTTCAAAATAAACGAATCTATTGTTTCGATGCAAATCGTTCGCCATTCATAATATAACATGATATAATATATATTCATAAAATCAATTTTCGTAACACAGTTTATGATTCTTTGTATGATCGAAGTAATATTCAACGTTTTTAGTCGAATTGGCGTATCGCCCGCTGGTTTAAAAGCTTTATTTATTTACGTTTTTATCGCAGCATTGAAAAATAATTATTGGCACGATTTAATTTAAACGTTTAAAAATTTCATATATATTTTGATATCTCGTTTCGCGATATTCGTTTCGGATGATATTTAATAAGATATTTTTCATGGAACGTACAAACTAATCGTAATTACCTAATAAATTAATTCGTAACAGTGAAAGAGAACGCTTTCAAGCTGAATTAATCGAAATGTAATTAATTTATTCGTGCCAACGTGCTGCTCTCTTCTCCTTCTCATTGTCATCGCGATGATTAGACCCCGGATGTAACAGAATCACCATGACTTTATCGATAATATATATTGGTATATAATACTGTACACGATATCGTGTTCAATGGACCCGTCATCAAAGCGCGATTACAGCTCATTGCACGAAACTTATTTACGCCAAGGGTTTCGATTATTAATCCATTACACGTGGTGCAACATCGTTTCACCGTTTAACCACCTTTGTTCACCGTTTCTCAACGTGCTTTCCAAAGCCTCGTTACTCGTTACGAATTATATAGAGAAATAACCCAGAGAAATATCCGATCGGCGTGTTAACAGAATAAAGAAGAAACGATGAATTTATATATCTTTCGTTAAACAAAAATAAATTCCTCTCTATGATAAGAAAGTAACGATCTCTCGAAAGGCAATAATTAATCTACGCCTCCATCGGCAAGTATCCACTCATTGTTCGAATATAATCATTTTATTATTCCCTGATCGACGTATAATGAACTGAATTTCGCATAATTGTTCCCCGTAATCGGCAGAGGACGCGCGCAAATTGCAGCGAAATGTCAGCGATATGAAATTGCAATTTCAGTAGATCAAAGTAGTGGAACATCGATCATCCGATTTAACGAAAACATGAGATGAGATCCGCTTCATTCGATGGTGGAAAAATTCAAATAATTATTTCACGCGTATATTTTACTTTTATATACTTTTCTCCTTTCGAAGCAGATACACGCATATATACGTTATCGTATATAATCGAACAGAAGAAATAAGAGAATTGTTTGGCTTAATTTCTCCACTCCTGGTATCCTGGTATCTCGAACGCAATAATGTAATGCAGCACGAGTATGCAAATTCAACGTCTCGTAAATATAGCTGCACCTGACTTTAACTAAACGAGTTGTAAAAAAAAAAATGATATTTCCTGGGGCGGGATTCGAATTGCTTTTCAATCCGCGTCGTTCAAGGCCCGATTCACAGACAGGGAACCGTCATTTGGCGTGACTAAATAGCACCGAAACCGTGACAAACGAAGAAAGGGGCGTGTTCCATGGGTAGAGTTTTCACGCGAGCCGTGTATGAAAAGGATACCAAGGATGCGACTGTCGAGCGAACGTCGACGATCGATAGCTATCGTTCCCCTTGATTTACACCGACCCACGCGTATCACATACGTAATTCCCGCTTGTCTTGCCGCGAGACATCCTCACGGGTTAGATAAAAATGCCGCGTACACGGTTTGAA